AGAGTCCCCAATTGCATCAAATGGTGTCCCCCAACCATAAACTCCTTCAAGCTAAACACTGATGGTGCAACACATGCCGATGCTGGAAGGGGTGGGCTAGGCGGCCTATTCAGGGACCACAATAGGAAATGGCTGAAAGGCTACTCAAAAGCATGCTCCCTCATGTCAATAGTACAAGATGAGCTGCTTGCGATCCTCCATGGGCTTAGGATCGCCGAAACGGACAACCTACTACCCTTGGAAATTGACACTGATTGCGAACAAGCCGTAAGGATGATTGTTGAGATTACGCGTATGTTTAACAATATAATCTCTGCTTGCAGGTACTTGCTTATGAAGCTGGACATTTCAGTTTTTTTTTTTTTTTTTCCAGAGGTCCAGAAGGCTAAAAGGTGGGAGAGAAGGAAGCCGAACCTCTATCGACCTAGACACATAAAGAATTCTCAGCTTTTTTTCATAAGAAGAAATGAAAGTATGTAGGCCTCTATGCTCAATCGAATAAGAAAGCTCGAAATGCAAAATAGCCTTTTTTTGCTTTCTAAAGCAAAAGGGGAGTATTGGTCAGAAGTAAAGACCACACGGCGGACATGTTGGCAAAGGAAGGTGCAAAAGCTCCCACTTTTGAACTAATTGAAAAGCTCGAGCCACTACCCCCCAGCATACGTATCTAGTATTTTGGAATCTGATGTAATAGGTATAGGTAGTATAAGAAGGATCCCTATGAACAATGTATTGGTAAATGGCCAAATGATGGCCAGAAACGAGATAACGTACTCTAATTGGAGCATGCCTCCAATGCCAGTTTAACCACTAATAATATTATCATCCTTGCCATAAAAGAAAGATAATGATAAATTGTTTCAATAAGAGCAGATGTAGTACAAATGTTACAATTACATGTGTAGTGACCCTTATAATATAAGCCAATAACTCACGAGATTTTTATGCATATATTGTCCTAACACTAGTAAAAATGACATAAAAAGAATATTATCAACTTTCGAGTACCCAAACTAGGTCATTCATGCTTCACACAATCATTCAAAATTAGTGGTAAATTTAATATATTACAAGATTTGGGCTTACACACCCCAAAAGAACAAGACATAGAGTCATACTTATATTACAACCAATGGTGACATGATCAAATTAGTCCTCAAAATTTCATGTAAACATACAACACATAGATCATGTACAAGTTCCAAGGTTTATACAAAATATAGATGCCTATATGAAAATGTGATCTTCCTTAAAGCTCTCAAATCTCCATCTCCAATGGCCCGCTTCATGCCCCTACGACAGAAATAACTATCGCTAAGCATATAGCTTAGTAGTGCAAAACTATAGGTTCGGAGTCATCAGATTCACCAAACTACCTTTCTCAAATCATGGGCAACATAATAGAACTTAATAAATAAATCAAGTAAACAATATATAAAGAGTATCAAGTTCGATATTTAAAGATCCAAATGTCAAAGAACGCTCATAGCACCAATTTCCAAGAGATTCAATAACAAGGCTCGCCCAATATATACATCATGTCGTCACACCAGACACAAACAGGTATCAAGAAGGGACGACGCCCTGTATCAAGAAGCGTCAAAGTCCAATAATCAAGAGAACCAAGAACCATATTAAAAATGGCTTTCTAGTTCGTACTTAAAATGGACAACTTCCATTCCTAAGACGAACTAAAAATCTAGAGTCAAGATGGCAAATGATCCGAATCAAGAAGCATGCCAATAGTGACAAAGTCACAGCCACAAGAAGGACAAGGTCCCAACAAGAGTGCCAACTGATCAAACAATATGTACGAGTGGGTGAGTTACACAAGTGTCTTTAACGTCTTAAATGATACCAACACGACAATGCAAAGTGACAAGAGGTAACCAAGGTACCAAGATCAATTTTCAGATATACCAGCAGTTAAAAGAGTACAAGTAAAAGTTTATACACAAACCTCAATGCTTTAGCAAAGAAACAGTCCAACACAACTTCGTGAGTTCAGACCGTAGACCATCCAACGTTTTAAGGTCCTCGACTAGTTCACGAGTATATACAACCTTAAAAATACAATTAAATAACTTCTTTAATTCCTAGCAGCTCAATAATGTTGATGTAAAATAGGATTATCATCACAAGTAAGCTTAGCTTGTACAAATACGACTATGCTCCCAAAACAGTGATTCTGGCCAGCCTAGTACCTCATGTCGCAACTTAGATTTGAAAAGGAAAACGGCAAAACTAGACTTTATAACCTCATGAAAGATGTGGATACATCTCTTAGGGTTGCAAACAAACAAGAAGCACCGCAAAATATATTTTGTACAATAAGATATATTCAAAACACTAACAGTTGTTCATACATGATTTGTAATTTCAAAATCTGGACAGAACTTGTCCTATGTTGCGTCCCATATTTCAAATCCATAACAGCTAAATCAGAGTTTTACATAAACATAAGAGTTGTAGGTCTACAAATTAGCTTTCCAAATCATATTTATTCACTGTAAAGTAAGTTCTAGAGAAAGAGATATGCATAAAATACCAAACACTATCCAGCTCAGAAACAGATTTCGTCACTTACCAAAAAGAAGTGTGTGTCTCGAATTCCAGCCAAAAGGGACAAGTTTTTCTCTTGTGATTTTGAAGAACAATCCTGTTTAGATATGTTTCTAAGGTTCTAAGACTTGAGAAAAATGAATTTATTAAAGGATGTGTGAAAATATATAGTCAAACAAGTGATGTCTATCACTTGGGCAGCTGTCCTTCAAATGTGCTGCCCAAAATTTGTGTGCTGCCCAAAAAAGCATACATATACACCTATATATATATATATCCTTCACCTCCTTTTAAAGTTATACATAATTCTAATTAGAATATTACGAAAATATCCCAATATAATACCTTAAATTACGATCACAATTTATGTTAAGCAAATTAGCAATTATCACAACACTTCAAGTTCCCAAAATGAGAGTAAAACATATTGTATTAATTAAGCAATTGTAAATCGACATGCGACTCTTGGTTAATATTTAGGGGTGTTACAACATGTTACAATCAAAACATAATATCAAATTTCTGATGAGAATTAGAAATGTTGTGAAATGTGTAGATTGTAGTGTAGAGTACTCATATAGTGTCTAGTTATGTTAAATTATTAATATTTAATATTTATGAAGGGTAAAGTAGTAAATTACTATCATCTTAATGGGTATCGATTTACCTAATAACCCAATACTGAAAATCAAAATCAAATCGATAATCCAATAATTTCTTTTTATAAAACTATTAAAATTCGTTAACCCAATATCAATAACCCAATAATATTTTTTTCGGTTCGATTTATCGATCGGTCCGATTTTTGCACACCCCTACAATTTACATGATGTGATTCATATCGTATATTGAACACAATACACTTTCGAATACAATTCAGTTTAGAAATATATTTTTTTCTTAGAATACAATTTGTTTTGAATACAAATATTGAATGGTTGAATGATCATGAATTTGTGTATTGGATGATTGAAATACAAAATTATTTAGAATACAATTTAGATGATGTGATCCAAATTGAATTTTGAATATAATATATTTTGGAATACAAAAACAAATTAGAAATACATTTTTACTTAGAATACACCCAATTAAATAGAATCCAATCACTAGAAACCACATTTATAGGGCATGTTTAGAGAATCACCTTGGTAATTAGATTTGGTGTAATTGAGTGTAATTACACTGTTTGATTAGACATGTAGCTACTTCGTCAGCAGCAAGTAATTGAGTGTAATTGGAAGAGATAATTACACTCTCCAATTCTCACGGAGGAGTTGTGAATTGTTGGTAATTACATGGTACAAGTTGATTACTTTTTAATTTCTTCTTTTTGTTTTTATTTTTTTTAGTTCTATTATTTTAAATTCTTTTTTATTTTTATTATTCTTAAAATATATTTTTTAATTTTATATTGTTTATGTTTCATTTCCTTCTCATTCTCAACCTTTACTTCTCGTTATTTCATGAGATTTTTCGTACTATATATTTTATTTATTTATTCTATCTTTATTTTTTTTCATTAGCATGATTTTGTTAATATTCTAATTTTGAAATTGAGGGAAAATTAATTGTTAAATAAAATTATAGATTTACATTTTCATTTCTTTAAATCACATTTATGTACGTTATGTTTGAAATGACGTAAGAGTAGTACTAAATTTCTTTTGGGATTTAGATCTTATGTTATATTTATTTCATTTGTTTTAGTAGTATCAACTTGATATTTCATATTGCAAGTCATTACTTTTTTTGTTAGACTTGATATATTATCTTTTTGTCAAATATTTTTTATAATTTATAACAATATATTTATAGTATTAATCTTTTTGTAAATATGTATTTTATGATGGTCATAGAGATCTTGTACTTTAGTTTTTATTATTAATTTACTTAATATATACTAATTTGAAAAACATAAATCAATTATATTTTTCATAATATTAGTTAAGAACATATATTTGCTGATTAATGTATTTTTAAAAGATAATATATATCTTAAATATTTAATTCAATATCATTTAAAAGGTCTCTTATTGGTCTAATATAAATTTTTAATTTTAGATAATTAATTTTTATTCTTAAAATTTAATATAATATTATGATTACAATGGTATAACCAAACAATAATTTGTAAGTACTGACAAACAAAAAACACAGCAATATAATTACTAGATTATATAATTGAATTGCTACCCTCGTAATTACACCAATCATAAATATTAGCCGATTTCGAGACGGACTCTATATTGAACCCCAAACTCATTTCAGTCGGTAGTAACATTTTTCACCAAACCGCAAACGGAAAATCAATTTTACAAACTGAACTGAACTGAACTGAACTGAACACGCCCCCGGCCCTAATCTAAAGTGTCATCTACATTCTACTGCGGAGGGGAAGTAAGAATACCGCCGACAAATAACAAGATCGATTGTTTTGATGTTTAGAATTAGTTGCAATGGCGCACAAAAGCATCTATTTTCCTGCCTTTATTCCACAGTTGCAGCAGCGGCGGCACCTGCTACTGTATTGGCGGAGTTCCTGGTAAACTCACTTGACTTCTCAACAAAAGAAGCCATTTCTACAAGCGCCAAGCTATCTCGTTCGAAACACAGACACTATGACCCGCATTTGTTATTTGATCTCCTTGATGAAATGGGTATGAACAAATCACAGATCAAAACCCTTGTTTCTTCTTCTCCTCAATTGTTGTTTTGTCGTGTTGATGAAAACCTCAAACCCAAGATTAAGGTTTTACAAGGACTTGGCTTATCTGTATCTCAACTTGCTACATTTATGACAAGAAGCAATTTTTTGACAAGAGGTTTAGATACTATTATACAGCCTAATCTTGTTTATCTAAGAGATTTATTGCCTACTCATCATCATGTAGCTATGATTCTTATAAAAGAGCCTAGGTTGCTTTCCTACAATCTTCCTAAAGTTATGCCACCCAATATATCATTGTTGCAAACTTTTGGCTTTTCAACGCCTCATATTCTCAAGGCTTTTCACAGGCATCCTAGGTTTCTGCTCAATAGTCCTGAGTGGTTTGAGAAAGCAGTACATCGACTAGTAAAGGATTTTCATATGCCTCTCAGTTCAGGGATGTTTCTTCATGGCGTTGAAGTACTTGTGTTCCTTGACGAATCTAAATTAGAAAGGAAATTAGATATTTTTCGCAGTTTTGGATGGTCTGATTCTGATATCTGCCGAATGGTGCAAAAGCTTCCTTACTGTTTGGCCTCATCAGAGGCTAAGATAAGGACTACATTGAAGTTTTTCATGAACGAGTTGGGGTATGAACCTAATTATCTGGCTTCTCGTGCACCGCTTTTAAAGTTTAGCTTGGAGAAGAGGATCCTGCCAAGGAATGAAATCTTGAAATTTCTTAAAGAAAACCAGCTGCTAAAAGGGAGTCTATGTCTTTACACTGCTGTGTCATTTTCTGAATCAGATTTTCAAAAGAAATGTGTACTTCCTTTCAGGGAAAAGATGCCCGAGATGTATGATTTATACATGAAAAGTAGAAGCTGAAGAGAAATCCCTACAGTGGAGACAATGGCTGCAGAGCAAAGAGGTTTATTCAGTTCCTTGAAAATATCTTAGATTCTTTTTCATGCTCTTGTCAAGCATATTGCTGCTTGTTTACTTTTAATTGATGGAGATCTATTGATGCACAATGACTTTTCAAAAAATTACGGAGTGACAAAAACTAGAAATTGATATCAGTTTCATTTTCTATTCAACTGATGATTCTTGTTTAATGACAAGTAGTATAGAAATCAGACGATGTATATGACATTGATATTTGAATGGTTATCTCAATCAGGACAATATTTGTTCTCGTTTAACTGAAGTTTCTTTATCTGATATCTTTGTGATAGGGCAATATTGCTTGTCAACCTAATTTTGGCTTGAAGATTTTCTTTTGTTGTCTTGTCTAGGTAAGTGGGTCTACTATCTTCATTATATTTTGAAAGAGCACCTTCTATCAACCCTGGTCAAGTGTGAGCAACTGGGCATGATGCTCTACATGCAGTAGGTACCTATTGTTGACAACTCTTAAAGGTGTTGATTGACTCTTAAGAGTCTTAGTGATGTACTTGTCCTGAGAGAATGGGTACCATCATGAATGTATAAGTAAAAGAGAACCTAAAGTATCCTCTGAAATACTTCACGAATCAACTTGTATGTTTAAGCGTTCTAGCATGACTGACCCTTAATCTATATGATATATACTTTTTTCCTAACTGGAAATTACTTGACATTTTCCATTTTTAGTCTCAAAGCAGTCATGGTAGTGTAGCAAACTAGGCTGTCTGTGCCACAAACCCTGCACAGTATCTCCATTTCTTTTCTTTTCCTTGTTGAAAAGGTATGTTATTGCTTTAGCTCAAAGGTTCTGCAATATATAGAGGGTATTACATAGTAAAAATCATTAGTCCCTATGAGATCTTCCAATGATTCAACTTCATTTACAATTCCCTTTTTACATAAAAATGTGAAACATGTTTGGCTTAATCTTGATATTCAGCAGAGAGATGACTGTCTTGAAAGCATATTGCACCCCTCTATCTCCAAACAGTTCACCACAAGAGTGAGATTCTACCAACTTGTTTTGTCTCCTTTACTTACTCAGCCCCCTAACACAGACCAAATATCCATATTAGGGAGATGTAGGGACAAGATGATATAGGGTATGTTCGGTGTGAAGGAAAAAGCTTCTAGGAAAATAAGTGAGGTTCTTACTTATTTTCTTGTGTTCGGTACGTAAGCAAAAAATATACTAAAAATATTTATATATAATCTAAACGAACACTATGGGTGGTGGGGGTGGGGTGGTGAGGGTGGGGTGGTGAGGATGGGGTTACAGAGAGTGGGGGTGACGATGAGGTGTGTTGGAGGGTGGGGTGGACACAACCTATGTGGAATGCTACTTGTGGAACTTATTTTCCTTACTTCCACTAGGGAAGTCATTTTCCTCAATTTTAAGGAACTTGTTTTCCTAGAAAAAATACCATCCAAAAATATTCACCAACCAAACATTGGATAATTGGCAAATATTTTCGTCCATACCGAGCACACCCTTACAATCTCTAGTTTACCTCCACACAAGTATCATCTGGAACAAAAGGCGGAAGCGCCTTTTCTACAATTCTCATGTGGCAAGCATGATTCTTTGGCTACTAGTCAAGAGAAACATGTAACTTTTGATAGTTTGTCCTCCTTTCATCCTTTATCTGAGGTAAGAGAGGCATAGAGGGACATCCTGAAACACAAATTTTACTTTATCTTCATAGTTGTTTAAACCTTAAAAATGCTCTAGTGCTGTCAAAAATTCTGCACCCCGGCCTGTGTTCTAGTCATTACCTTCTTCAAAAGTTGAAGTTCCAGCCAAGTTCTTTGTAGGAGCCCAAAGTAGTCTCTAGCTTTTGTACATTGTTGAGTATGTAAGGGGAACTGTTCTTTCAAGAGACCATGCCTTAATCAGTTGTCATTCCAAAGGATACCCTCCTACCATTACCCACTTTAATATCAATATGTGATGAAAGAGGGCTACAAATTTTTGACATTCCTCTATACTCCCACCCCATATGGAGAATAGTGATAACTTCTCTTTTTTTTTTTTTTTTTTGATAACTAGTACTCTTGTATTCCTCAGCAATTAGGGACTGCTGGCCACCCTCAAAAAAAGTTACAATGTAGTAAGATCTAGCTTTACAGTGCTCCTAGGAGATCGTTCAACACTTCTATTTCCTCAATGCAATTTTCTTTACACTAGACAGTAAAGTCACTAAGCTATTCCATTTGACTTCATGGATGGACTTAATCTTATTTTTGAAACATCTTTCATTCCTCTCTTTCCATATTGTCCACCAAATGCATGAATGTATTATCCTCCGCCATTCTGGCTCTTGCTTCCCCCTCTTCAAATCCTACAGCTCATCAGGTCTGTTGTATGCTCATGCATTGTCCATACAGTCTTTGTTAGACTGAAAAACATATTCCACTATTGGGCAGTGAATTTGCAATGCAAGAAAAGATGGTTATTTGTCTCCCTAGTTTCATTGCACAAAAATTTGCTTGACTTGAAGAAAGTTGTCCTTCCCAATCTGCTGAATAGAGGAACCTGTCAATCCTAGATGCACTGTTGTGATTTTCCCCCTCCTTCATGTAAATGGTCCTCCAAATGAAGGAGGATCTACCAGCTCCAAGTTTATGCTCTTAGAGAATTCAAACATTGCCCCTGAGATTCTATGACAATTTACTCTCTCTGCTACAAACCTGGTGACATTAAAGTCCCCACACACCACCCATGTTCCCTCACATCTGCTTCTAGTAACTGCTAGCTCACTCCACAACTCTCTTCTTGTCACCCTGTTGCAATCTGCATACACAACAGTGATGTACCAGGTTAGATCCTGTTTTATACCAAAAAAATTAAAAAATAACAAGAGATCAATTGACCAACCACCTCCACCAGTTGCCCTGCCCACTCCCTTTTATCCCACATTATCAGAATCCCCTTCTGCTACCCCTTGCCTCAAAATGTTCTTCCCCTAGATTAGTGATAACTTCTCTGACTAGTGCTTGTTCTTCTATTATTGTAGCTCAATAGCCATTTCATCAAAAGGCTGCTATTAGCTGTCTCATATTCTTGATCACCAATCTTTTTTTCTGGCCAATAGTAATAGAGCTCCATATGACAGAGAGAGTTTCTTCATAGGGCATCTAATCTTTTCTCTACACTAGCTGGTAACAGGAATAGTGACTATCATAATCTTGCCAATGTTCTTTCCCATCTTGCTATCACCCCTTGCCAATTTTCTTCTCACCTAAATGCCTTAAGTTTCTAGTTAGTCAGCTTCCAACTTGACATTCTTGTATGCTAGGAAGTATTGAAATATTGGGCATTTGATTCACAGAGACCATAATACTCTTCCTCCATTTTACTTTTTGGCCAGAGTAAGTCTTCAAATATAGTTAATAGTGAACGTTAAATGCCTTACGTACTCCACAATAGAATAAAAAACTAGTGTATTATCATGATGTAAAAAGTAGGGTATTTCCGTATTGTTGAACCCAATGCTAGCCACTTTAAAGCCTCTTATCCATCCACTATGACTTGGCTATCTATCCTTTGCATTCTGTTAAATCCTTCCATAATCAGTACAACCAGAAAGAGAGATAAGAGGATCATCTACCTTAAGGCCTATTTGTGAAGGAAAGAAACTCACAAGAAAACCAACAACATATACCCAGTGAAATCACACTAAGTGGGGTCTTGGAGGGTAGAGTGTACGCAAACCTTACCACTACCTCGAGGAGGTAGAAAGGTTGTTTCCAAAAGACCCTCGGCTCAAGTGTATCAAACCCAAGTAAAATAAGTAGAAAACAATGAAGAAAGCATAGCCGTTAATAAGAAAAAGCAGTGTAAGGTCTACCGGAAAGGAACAATAACAACAACAAAATAGTGTGATAATCCAAACACAATACACGACATATGGCAAGATCTACAAGGGTACGACTAGCACTACGACAGGCACTAACAAGTCTAAACCTATGCACAACAAGACAACACTTCACCCCTACTAACCTTCTACCCTAATACACGACTTCCTATTTAGAGTCCATGTCCTTGGTAATATGAAGTTGCACCATATTCTATGTAATCACCTCTCCCCAATACTTCTTCAGCCTACCTCATACCTCTCTGGGTACCTCCTACAACCAGTCTCCCGCACCTCCTCACTAGGTCGTCGCACACCTCCTTTACACATGCCCAAATCATCTCAGTCTCACTTCCCTCATCTTGTCTGCTACAAACTCCTACCTTCTCCCGAATAACCTCATTCTTAATCTTTTTGTATGCCCGCACATCCATCTCAACATCCTCATCTGAAGCCCACAAGAAAACGATTAATCAAAATTGAGTATCTGACCGTGCTGATACAGAAGAACATCCATTTAAGGCATTTCCTACTGAATTCCATATCATTTAGAACATTGATTAGGAAATCCCAAATTCACACAATCATACGTTTTTTTCGATATACAACTTGGTGTTTATGCTCATTTCAAAAGTACCTTGTCTGTGAAAGTACTTCACTGCCTTCATGATGTTTTGATTGGGCAGCATATTCGATAGAAACTAATGTAACTGCAAAAGCCCAGGCTTTATCATTTGCACAGATTTTAATGGTCTCTGCTACTTTTTATTCCTCGAAAGGACCTTCTAATTAGCTGTCTTTCCTCTTTACTGATTGTTTGGACATGCATTCGTTCATGTTGAATCTTGGTCTCTATTTTTCATTCTCAGTCTACAAGTTCTGATAGAACGTCGTCTTCTGATGGCCTCTGGATCTTCCTCTGTTTCTCCATTAATATCCAACTTATCAATCATATTGTATCTGTGATAGCATTAGTCATTGTTTGGAATAACTTAAGGGTCGTTTGGTAGAGTGTATTGGAGAAAATAATGCTTGCATTAGCTTGGTGTATTACTAGTACTTTGGTACGCTTTTCTAACCTATTCATAATTGATGCTTGTATTAGTAATACACTCTATTGTGTATTGAAGAGTGTATTACTAATACCATGGATTTCTAAGCTTTAGTAATGCAATGAATCCTAATGCATGCATTAGCATTATTAAAGACACAATTGTCCCTCAAAAAAAATTTTACATCCTTAAAACTATATTTGTGGAGGGTATTTTTGTAAACAAATATTTTTTTAAAAAAAAGTTATGCAATGTATAATATTTTTAGTACACCAAACCAAACATTGCATAAAAAATCTCATCATCACTAATGCAAGCATAACTAATACACTATATTTTGCATTATTCTTATACACTCTACAACGACCACTTAGTGTCTTTGTCACCTTATTTCAGCTGAAGATTCCTAGATCTGTCTCCATACTAACTCCTCACATTTATTTACATCTTCAATTTCCATCAATACATTTAACATTTCTGATCAAATCCTCTTTTGTAAGTTGTTCCTGTATTTTATCCTACTGAAGCATTTCGTTCGTAACTCTTGATTTCTTCTGTCTAAACTGCCAAAGTTGTTGGTATCACACTTGACCTTCTTTGCTTTAAAGAATTCAGTTTCTTTAAGAGTAAAATCAGCCTTACCTGCCACCATAAAGGAGTCCCATCATTCTTTTATTCTCTTTAAAACCTTCAATGTCTAACCACCTACTTTTAAATTTGAAGTACGATCTATATTTACCCCTTAGCATTCTGCCTGGAGGCAATCCTGAGAAGTGCAGACTACTTGATGTATCTAAACTCTTCATTCCATTATGCTGTGGAAATGAATCTGTCCATTCTTGGGGAACTATGATGATTGTTGTCGTCACCCAACCCAAGTGTATAGTGGTGGATCAATGAACTCCAGAATCAAAATTAAGAAGAATATTTTTGATTTAGATATTAGGTGTTTGAGAGAGAACATGTTGTCATATTGTTAATATACAGGTTGAGGTCATTGTTAAACCTCACACCACAATGCTGACATTAACTAAAAAAATAAAAGGGCCACTTTCAGTAGTCATGTTGAATATCTTTAAACACCTGTCTCTGTGAATGAAGAAAATAAAATTAAGATTTCTAAAGTTTGAGTACTGTTGTAGAGGACAAATGAATATTATGGTTGAGCTCAAAGGATCAGAAGAGTGATTTTGTCACCAGTTTCGATTTGCTGCAATGTTCAGAAAAGCCGACATAGAGTTGCTATGAGGAGGCCATTAATACTGATTATTTTTAAAAGCAAGGATGTAGTTGAGAAAGTATGTATTAGCACAGCTGATTTTTCTCTTGTTAACATCTGTAAGGGTAAATTAAGCTGTTAGAGATATATGCAGCTTATTTTGTTAAGAATTTTATGGTACAATTTTCTCTATCTCTAACATGACTATTAAAAATGTTGTATCAAATTATGCTATCCTATGTATTTCATTCCTCATTATCAAGGTTTATTTCTTCCCCTGAAAAGACCCTCTATTTTCCTTTAACAGCTAATTTTGTAATAGTTGGTATTCAAAAGTTCACATTATGACACATAACTTGAGTATTAGTGTAATAATGTTTGTATGTAGTATATTGTTGGTAAAAAGGAAAAGGGGTGGCATCCATCGGTATTAGTGTAGCAATTTGACCTTGGAAATTTCATTACTTGATGGTATGTGAAAGACACATTTTTCATGGCATGAATCCATGGCCTCTTGAGTATAATGTTATACCACATTTCTCCATTGAAGATTTCAAACTGGTTTGTTTGAGCACGCCCTCTGCATCCATCGGTACTCACACTAACTTTTGGTGGGCTAACCATATCTTACTAACTAAAACATGTTATAACTAGTTAATTAATCATATTATCTAAACCGTTAAAGGAAGAAATAATAGTTGCAACTATAATAGATTAGAAGTGTGGAAATTTAAACTATTACATCTCTAAAATTCGAAAGTCATTGACAAGATTCTAACTATAGTGTCAAAGAATAGTCACTAAACTAGATAAGTAAATAACAATGTCCGAGGAAAGTAGTCATCGATTATCAGATGACCTGTGGCAGCATGAATAGTAATAGCTCACCCTTAGATCTGAAGTCTTGTAGCTGCGTTAAATATGAGCTTGGGTAGATGATTCTGGATCACAATCTGTACTCAAAAGGAAAGTGCAAGAGTAGCACAAGTACAAACATTATATATTGGTAGGCATTATATACTATTAAGGCCTAATTTGTTTGCACTTAATGGATGTCTGAATTTGAATGGTTCAAACATTAGGCCATTAAGTGCGTTTGTTTTTTCAACTAAAAAATCTTTTAATGGGTCTGAAAAAATCCAAATGAATCAGATTTGTGACAGAGTCTGCCTCATTTGTTTGCACTTAATGAAGGTCTGAATCTTAATCATTCAAATTCAACCCATTAAATGTGTTTGGTTTTTAAGTCTAAATTTGAATGATTGCGATTTAGCCTATTAAGTCCATTTGTTTCTTTTTTTTTTTAAAAGAAAAAATTAATGCGTCTTAATGAGTCTTATATAGAGAATACCACTATCTAAAGTAACCTTGCAGGGGTGCGTATAACATGTAAGATCTCAATACGAGAAAGAAATCAGACTTATAACCTCACTGCAGTGGCTTGTAGACTTGCTTTGCCGTGGAAAGCTTATGTGAAAACCTATTAGAACTGTGGGCCTTACCCATCTACTACTCGACCTTAAGTAACTACAGTTAACTGAATGAATCAGATCTATAACGAAGTCTGAATACCATTCAGCCTCTATTAAAATAATAAGCGTTCTTTCATCAAAAAAATATCTTCTTCCTTGCTTCTCTTCTAGACAAGTTTCAAGTTTCTTCCTCTCCTTTCCAACCAAATACCATTTTTTTTCTTTTGAATAAGTAAGGTTTCATAATCTTTTGCAAGTATTTATTTAATATTTTTAATATATACAATATTCTTGGGTGAATTGATATTTATGAAGAACTCTTCTTGTCACAATTCATTTGTTGTCAAAACTTCTTTGGAAGATGTTATCATTGTTTCTTGAGAAAAAAATGTTTGAGAAAACAAATAAATAGTTTTTTTTTTGGGCGGGTTATAATCTTATTCTTGAAACGATTTTTTGGAAGAAGTTATCTTGAGTTTGGATTATACCTTTTATTGATATAGTGCTTAATTTCTATTTTTTTTAACAAAAAAAATTTATACATATTCGGATATTGAAAACTAACAATCTTAATGATTAAATCTTCACGCATATAAATTACATCTTAATAATCAGATGTGCATTATGGGTTTTCAAGAACGACGATTTGGAGAGCTATTTCATCAATTTTTAGGGTTCTTTCTTGAACTCTTCTATTTCGATCTATTTATGATATTAAATTGTTGCTTGATCGAAATTACTATAATGAGTAGCTAATTTCCCTAGTTCTAGGGTTATGGCTACAAGATGATTGTAACTTATTGAGTTTATACGGATTGCCATTAAGAAACTTTCTTATGTTTTTGTTTTTCGTATTTCGTGCCTGATCACCATTGAAATAAACATACTGTCCGAATTGAACTCGGAAGAGGAATAAGAGGATAGAACGTGGGGCATGAGGAGCATGATTTTCTCTTAAGAATTAGAATTAATTTGTATCTAGGATAGGGATATACCTAGAAACCTTGCTTGGTCATTATACATGAAGAAATTAAAATGCTCGGTAATTGGTCCAACCTATCCCCGCTCAACGATGTAGTTAGGTTGTCATTTATCGTAGGCGATTAGAGGTCGGGAGACCATAATCATATATTTAACCCTGCGATCATTAATTCGATAGTTGATGAATATCCGTTTAACAAGATAAATTGCATGAATCCTGATAAAAGTTGTAACCCTGGACTTCACCCAATCATTGTTTGAAACCTTCGAAATTGAATCATGTTTATTTAAATTTTGTTTAAATTTTAAATTATTAAATCAATCAATCATGTAATCTTGATAACACTTGTGCTTAGCTGGAAGTATTGGAAAATTGAGTTGTTCTAATCATAAGTCTTTGTGGGTACGATACCCGGCTCTTAAAAAAGAGCCACTTTAATACTTGAACGACCACGTACACTGGAAACAACATAAGGGCTACTTCTTTTAGGTTTGATATTTCGGTGAACGAGTCCGTGGTAAGAGCTCTTTCTAGGTTCACCTGGGGGGTTTCTGATGGAGTTGGGATTTGAGGAGGAGTCATTTCTGGAGGAGGTTGTGATATCTAGGGAAAGAACAGAGGGTTGTTTTGGGTAAGTTCCACTAGAGCGAAGAAAGAGAGGTTTTGGGTTTGTCATTGGATTGATGAGGGGATTGAAGTGGGTTGGAAGACCCCAATGTTGTTGCATGTTGTGATGCAACATTGGTGCAACTGCCGGTGCCACGGGGTTCATGATATTGTTGATCAATAGGTGGTTTAGGTAATTGTCCATTGCCAGCTTCATGCCCTCCGAGACTAGTTAGGAGAGAAAATTTGGATTCTGGAGAATTATCATGACCTCCTAATCATTAAGGTCTATCGTAAAGAAGACAACTTAGACCTGGAGACCTAGCTCTATCCAAGAGAGGGGGGTTGGTTTGGGGGGAGAGCCTCGGTAGCATAGACCACCAGGGGGTTTGGCATCGGTGGGAATGGTGGATTGTTGGAGCTGTCGTTCATATTCTTTGTGAGTAGCAAAAGTTTGTTCTTTTTCGTTTTGTTTAGAGGAAGCAGTAATATGGAGCTCATTTGAACTGGGAGGGAGACTTAAGAGTTTGCTCTAATGATTGATGAGATATATCTTGAGATATGTTATGCATGGAATTGGAGGGAGCAAGATAGGGTGAAATATGGGGGGGGGGGGGGGGGAGATTGCATGAAGGTACAATTGTCTAATTGTATCTTGGGGTTCGCCAATTGTCGAGAAAAATGAGAATTGTTGTCAAAATTACCATGGTTACAGCTGTAGAATAGTTGATATTACCAGTGATTTTCTTTTTACCACTTTCGAATTTACCCATAGATTTGGGGGAGTTACCATGAAAGATGGCATTGTGGGCAATAGGCCACTTTTTCCTGACACCTGTCGATGGAAGAATTTGCATGTGAGAGACGGTGTTTGAGTGAGACTCAGAGTCCATCTCTACCAACTGTTTCTCCTCCAACAAAGATAAAGAGTTAAATTTATTAGCGAATTCAATGGAAAGAGGAGCAAAAGTATCAGACTTAGTCACATTAACTGTTAGTTCTTCTCCCTTTTCAGGGATTAAAACAGAGGAGTTAATAGGATTTTTTGCTTGATTACTTGGATTGGCATCCCTGTTTCTAAAATACACACTTGGGAGTGAGCAGGGGCGGATGTACAGTGTTTCCAGAGGGGTCATCCAACTCTCATCGATAAAAAAATTACACTATATATATAAGATCGATTTTTTTATGTACGTGTATATATTTAAAATTGAACCACCTAAATATATATCAAAGGAGTAGCCCAACGGTTGAGGAGGTTCAAGATTTCGCTTAAGTGAGCTTTGGGTCGCGGGATCGATTCCAGGCAACAACATTTTTTGTTGTTGTAATTTTTAGCGATTTTGCAGGCATCAGTTTTAAGCGTTTTTTTTAATTAAATATAGATAGACCAAACGACCCCGTTTTTAAAGTCATAACTAATTAAAAAAATTATATTTAAAATCTCTAATGGAAAAGTCAACAAATAAAAAAATCCCTCTTTTCTAGGGGGATTGCAATATTATATTTTCCCTATTCTTTCTCGTTCAACTTCAACCTTCAGGTTTTGCTACTGCTCGCTGGCCGCTGCTACAGTCTCGCCTGTTGTTGACTTGCTGCCGCCTGTTGCTGTTGCTGCTTGCTGCCGCTGGTGGAGGAGTGGTGGTCCTCCATGGATTAGTTTCATTCGCCCCTTCATGCTCCATTTGTGATGGCAACCTCTGTAAGTTTTCTTTTTTCTTTTTATGTTTGTTTTTTTTCCAGAATTCTATGCTTTGATTCTGGTATTTGTTGATGTGCTATTTTATTTAGCTGATTGAACTCGGATATTCACTTCTCTTAACAATTTTTTATTTTTCATATGAAAATTTCAATTATATTCACTGATTATGAAAGTTATAATTTTATTTGTTTGGGCTTATTTGTTGATTTTAAGATGTCCATTACGTGTTTGATGAAATGTCAGAAAGATTTGCCAACTTTCTTATTTTCTTTTCTGATTTTGGGTTTGAATAGATACAATGTTGCACTCATTTAACAATACATTAAGAAGAATTTGGTTGCTAGATAGATTAAAATAAAACCAAAGTAGGATTATCTTTGCCTTTTTCTAAAGTTTGGTATCCAGGAGAGGCACCATTCTCATTTGCATTGGTATCATAAAAATTTTAATATTGTGTTGACTAA